GACATCGAGGAGGCTGTAGTCGTCACCGACCGCCATGAGCGCCGCCCCCGGCGCCATGCACGGCTCGCAGAAGGACACGGCGGCCTGCCGTACCACATCACCGACGCCTCGCTCAGGAAGTCCTTCGAGGGCTTCAGTGACATCGAGGAGGCTGTAGTCGTCACCGACCGCCAGACGGGCAAGTCCCGCGGCTACGGTTTCGTGACCACGGCCGACCGGGCGGCAGCTGAGAGGGCTTGCAAAGACCCGAACCCCATCATCGACAGCCACAAGGCCAACGTGAACCTGGCATATCTGGGCGCCAAGCCGCAGAGCCTCCAGACGGGCTTTGCCATTGGGGTGCAGCAGCTGCACCCCACCTTGATCCAGCGGACTTAAGGGCTGACCCCGCACTACATGTACCCACCAGCCATTGTGCAGCCAAGAGTGGTGATCCTGGCCGCCCCTGTCCCGTCACCGTCCTCGCCTTACATTGAGTACACGCTGGCCAGCCCGGCCTACGCCCAGTACCCACCGGCCACCTATGACCAGTACCCATAGGCTGCGTCACCTGCCACGGCTGCCAGCTTCGTGGGCTACAGCTACCCGGCCGCTGTGCCCCAGGCCCTCTCAGCCACAGCCCCCACCACCTTCGTGCAGTACCAGGCGCTGCAGTTGCAGCCCGACAGGATACAGTGAGGGGTGTTCCTGCCCCAAGGACTGTGGCATTGTCACCTTCACAGCAGACAGAGCTGCCAGGCCATGATGGGCCGGCGACAGCCCGGCTGAGCTTCAGTGAGGTGCCACCAGCACTCAGGCCTCTGAAGACCGCTCGGGCACTCCGCCTGCACCCTGGGACAGTGGAGAGACAGCTTCTCTTTAAATCTAGGTCCCATTGTGTCTTGAGGGAGGACATTAAGAATGACTGAGAGCTATTTAAAGACGCAATCCCGGGTTCCTTGCTCACCACGGCAGCCTCTCCTTGCACCTTTTCCTGCCTCTCCACACTCCAGGTGCCCTCAGGTTTGTGTCTCCACCGCCGCATCGTGGTGGGGTGTCACAGACCCTCTGCAGTCCCTGGCTGCCCTGGACTGTGCAGAGATGCCTGACTCCAGGGAAACCTGAGGGCAAGAAGTTAATGGACTATTTATTGTAACTTGATCCTCACGAGCTGTGAGCGCAGTCGAGGTGTGAGGACACGGCCTCCTGTTGGAGTCGCATTTTCTCCATGAGGGCACGTGGGCGGCTTCCTCAAGCCCAGAGGAGCTCCCAGGCACACAAGGGCCGCCGGTAACAGGGGGAGCCGACCAAAGACCCCTTTCCAGTCATAGCACTGAAGTTGCAACTTTTTTCTTGTAATTGTTTTGCTACTAAGATAATTTCAGAAGTTCAGTCTATTTTTTCAGCGGATACTGCCGCCGCCAAGAATCCAAAACCTATTTTTGACTTGGAGAGACTTGCTTTTGTTGGTTCCGCCCATGGAGACGATCACAGGGTTTCTGTATAATAAAGTGTCTGCCGGCTCGCGGGCCAGGATCCTCTCGGTGGGATGGGCACCATAGACAGGAGGCCCTGCAGGCCCGTGCAGGCCACTGTCTGCTGCCACCTGCCAGCGTGGCAGAGTGAGTTGTCTCAGGACCCCATCACTGCGACATTGACGCTCCTCTCCCTTCCCTACCTCCCCAACTCCCCAACCACTGTGGAAGGGGAGAAGGGAGTGACCCACAGCATTCCGGCCACTCAGGGTCTAGACCACGATGGTGCCAGCCTAGGGGGGAAGGGGCCCTCAGCTCTGCCTGCTGGAGCAGTTGAGTGCAGGAGGGTGTGCCTCTTCCCTCTACTCCCGCACCACCTGATGTGTGCCAGCCCCAGTCGGTTCCTGCCTGTCTTGGGGATTGGTGGAGGGAGGAAGCAGTTCTGCCAGCCGTGGCAGGGCTGCTATGGGGCATCCAGGGCTGTGGGGGTCTGGAGGAGGGGACATGAGGTCAGAGGTATCCTGGCCGAGGGTTGGGGGGCAGCGGGGGGTCTCCCTCCGGACCTACCTCAGGGAGCTGAGCATGCAGGTGTTCCAGGGCAGGCCTTGGACACAGTCAAGGCCCAGAGAATAAAGGTAGCTAATCTCATAATAATATTTTTATTAGAATGTTCTGATGATAAAAATAAAACTTGTTTTCTTTTTTTTTAAAAAAAAAAAGGAAAGAAACTCACTCAAAACCACACAATTACATGGAAATTGAACAACCTGCTTCTGAGTGACTCCTGGGTAAATAATGAAAATAAGGCAGAAATCAAGAAGTTCTTTGAAACCAATGAGAACAGAGACAACATACAAGAATCTCTGAGACACAGCTAAAGCAGTGTTAAGAGGGAAATTTGTAGCACTAAATGCCCACATCAGAAAGCTAGAAAAATCTCAAATCAACACCTTTATATCACAAGTAAAAGAGCTAGAGAAGCAAGAGCAAACTAATCCAAAAGTTAGCAGAAGGTAAGAAATAACTAAGATCAGAGCAGAACTGAAGGAGATAGAGACATGAAAAACCCTCCAAAACATCAATGAATCCAGGAGTTGATTTTTTGAAAACATTAACAAATAGATAGACCACCAGCTAGACTAATGAAGAAAAGAGAGAAGAATCAAACAGATACAATTAAAAAAATGATAAAGGGGATATCACCACTGACCCCAAAGAAATACAAACTACCATCAGCGAATACTATAAACAACTCTACGCAAATAAACTAGAAAATCTAAAAGAAATGAATAAATTCCTGGACACATACACCCTCCCAAGACTATACCAGGAAGAAATTGAATCCCTGAATAGGCCAATAACAAGTTCTGAAATTGAGGCAGTAATTAATAGCCTATCAACCATAAAAGTCCAGGACCAGACAGATTCACAGCTGAATTCTACCAGAGGTACAAAGAGGAGCTGATACCATTCTTTCTGAAACTATTCCAAATAATTGAAAAGGAGGGACTCCTCCCTAACTCATTTTATGAAGCCAGCATCATCCTGATACCAAAACCTGGCAGACACACAACAAAAAAAGAAAACTTCAGGCCAATATCTCTGATGAACATCCATGTGAAAATCCTCAATAAAATACTGGTAAACTGAATCCAGCAGCATACCAAAAAACTTATCCACCATGATCCAGTTGGCTTCATCCCTGGGATGCAAAGCTGGTTCAACATATACAAATCAATAAACATAACCCATCACATAAGCAGAACCAAAGACAAGAACTACATGATTATCTCAATAGATGCAGAAAAGGACTTCGATAAAATTCAACATCCCTTCATGCTAAAAACTCTCAATAAACTAAGTATTAATGGAACATATCTAAAAATAATAAGAGCTATTTATGACAAACCCACATCCAATATCATACTGAATGGGCAAAAGTTGGAAGCATTCCCTTTGAAAACCAGCACAAGACAAGGATGCCCTCTCTCACCACTGCTATTCAACATAGTATTGGAAGTTCTGGCCAGGGCAATCAGGTAAGATAAAGAAATAAAGGGTATTCAAATAGAAAGAGAGGAAGTCAAATTGTCTCTGTTTGTGGAGGATTCTATATTTAGAAAACCCCATCGTCTCAGCCCATAAACTTTTTAAGCTGATAAGCAACTTCAGCAAAGTTTCAGGATACAAAATCAGTGTTCAAAAATCAGAAGCATTCCTTTACACCAACAATAGACAAGCAGAGAGCCAAATCACAAATGAACTTCCATTCACAATTGCTACAAAGAGAAGAAAATACCAGGAATACAGCTAACAAAAGATGTGAAGGATCTCTTCAAGGAGAACTACAAAACCACTGCTCAAAGAAATAAGAGAGTCACAAACAAATGGAAAAACATTCCATATTCATGGATAGGAAGAATCAATATCATGAAAATGGCCAGACTGCCCAAAGTAATTTATAGATTCAATGCTATTCCCATCAAATTACCATTGACATTCTTCATAGAATTAGAAAAAAAAAACACTTTACATTTCATATGAAATCAAAAAGACCCATAGAGCCAAGACAATACTAAGCAAAAAGAACAAAGCTGGAGGCATCATGCTACCTGACTTCAAACTACACTACTAGGCTATGGTAACCAAAACAGTGTGGTACTGATACCAAAACAGACATATAGACCAATAGAACAGAACAGAGTCCTCAGAAATAACACCACACATATACAACCATCTGATCTTCTACAAACCTGACAAAAACAAGCAATGAAGCAATGGGGAAAGGATCTCCTATTCAATAAATGATGCTGGGAAAACTGGCTAGCCATATGCAGAAAACTGAAACTGGACCCCTGCCTTACACCTTATATAAAAATTAACTCAAGATGAATTAAAGACTTAAAAGCAAAACCCAAAACCATAAAAATCCCTAGAAGAAAACCTAGGCAATACCATTCAGGACATATGCATGAGCAAAGTCTTCATGACAAAAATGCCAAAAGCAATTGCAACAGAAGACAAAATTGACAAATGGGATCTAACTAAACTAAAGGTCTTCTACACAGCAAAAGGAACTATCATCAGAGTGAGCAGGCAACCTACAGAATGGGGGAAAATTTTTGCAATCTACCCATCTGACAAATGCCTAAAATCCAGAATCTACAAGTAATGCAAACATATTTACAAGAAAAAAACAAACAAACCCATCAAAAAGTGGGCAAAGGATATGAACAAGGCACTTCTCAAAAGAAGACATTTATGCGGCCAACAAACACATGAAAAATACTCAACATCACTGATCAGTAGAGAATTGCAAATCAAAGTCACAATGAGATACCATCTCACGCCAGTCAGAGTGGTGATTATTAAAAAGTGAAGAAACAACAGATGCTGGTGAGGCTGTGGAGAAACAGGAATGCTTTTATACTGTTGGTGGTAAATTAGTTCAACCATTGTCAAAGACACTGTGGCAATTCCTCAAGGATCTAGAACCAGAAATACCATTTGACCCAGCAATCTCATTACTAGGAATATACCCAAAGGAATATAAATCATTCCATTATAAAGACACATACACACATATTTTTTTCACTACACTTTAAGTTCTAGGATACATGTGCAGAACATGCAGGTTTGTTACGTAGGTATACATGTGCCATGGTGGTTTGCTGTACCCATCAACCCATCATCTAGGTTTTAAGCCCTGCATGCATTAGGTGTTTCTCCTAATGCTATCTCTTCCCTTGTCCCACACCCCCTGACAGGCCCTGGCGTGTGATGTTCCCCTCCCTGTGTTCGTGTGTTCCCATTGTTCAACTCCTAGTTATGAGTGCGAACGTGAGGTGTTTGGTTTTCTGTTCCTGTGTCCGTTTGCTGAGAATGATGGTTTCCAGCTTCATCCATGTCCATGCAAAGGACATGAACTCATTCTTTTTTATAACTGCATAGTATTCCATGGTGCATATGTGCCATATTTTCTTTATCCAGTCTATCATTGATGGCCATTTGGGTCGGGTTGTAATAACAGCAAAGACCTGGAACCAAAACAAATGCCCATCAATGATAGACTAGATAAACAAAAGGTGACATATATACACCATGGACTACTATGCAGTCATTAGAAAGGATGAGTTCACGTCCTTTGCAGGGATATGGAGGAAGTTGGAAACTATCATTCTCAGCAAACTTACACAGGAACAGAAAACCAAACACCGCATGTTCTCACTCATAAGTAGGAGTTGAACAATGAGAACGCATGGACACAGGGAGGGGAATATCACACACGGGGGCCTGTCTGGGGGTGGGGAGCAAAGGGAGGGAACTTAGAGGACAGGTCAATAGGTGCAGCAAACCACCATGGCACACATATACCTACGTAACAAACCTGCAAGTTCTGCACATGTATCCCAGGACTTAAAGTAAAATTTTTAAAAAAAGAAATAAAAAGATAAGAATGACTCCAAACAGCAGGCACTCTGGAAAAAGAGAACAAAGAACATGGTAGAAAGAAATCATCAATAAAATAATTCAAGGAAATAGCCCAGCACTGAAAGATTTGAGTTTCCAAACTGAGAGGTTCACAAAGTACTCAGCACACAAGAAAACAACTGACCCACACTATGACCCATCATTTTAAAATTTCAGGACTTGGGAAATAAAGAGAAGAAGTTATACATTCCTGAGCAGGAAAAAAAATGCTTTCTGTATACAAAGCATCAAGGATCCAAAGAACATTGAACTTCTCAAAAGCAATACGGGATGCTAGAAATCAATGTGCAATGTCATCAGGATTGTGAGGGGAAATAATTTCCAATCAAGAATTTTATATCCAAAGTTATAATTAAGGGTGAAGATAAGGACATTTTCTGTCATATAAGACTCTCAGTAAAATATCTATAATTTCTCAGCAGGATGTGCTCCACAAAAACAAGAGAGTATGCCAAGAAAGAGGAAGGCATGAAAACCCAG